AAAATAAAATAAAATAAAATAAAATAAAATAAAATAAAATAAAATAAAATAAAATAAAATAAAATAAAATGGCTATCATATGGTATTCTAATTATCAGCATGCCTTATTCCCATCAGAATGTCAGTGTCCTGAAATCAGTGTGACATGCAGGGTAGATGCACAATAAATATGCATGTAAATTGTTGAATGATTCTTTAATTTCCTGGATCCTGTGAGATAATCTGCAATATATCCTACAAATAGATTGTAAAATTAATTCCAGATATATAATCCATTAATTTCTCACCTTGTATCTTCTTTGTGTCTTCACTTTCCATGCTTGTCTGTATTTTTTTCCTTATATTTCATCTATAAGATAAAGATATTTTCTCAATTTAAATCAATGTTTGAGAATTCCAGAATTATAAATGCAAAAGTGTAGGGAAAAAACAATTTTCCTGAAGACAGAAGAGCAGGGACTGAATCTACAACTTATTAAATATGTGATGCTGGGTGTGCTTAAGTTCCCTAAGGCTCAGTTTCCTCTTCTGTAAAATAGGAAATCCCTACTTCATAAAGTTGTTACAAGAATTAAATTTGAAAAATACATAAATGCATATGGCATTCTTAAGTATTACAGGCCTTCAACATAGTTTATTAAGTAAATATACACATTTGGTTGACTGAATCTAAATGACCCTCTTGTGGTTCTGCTTCCTTATTTTCTTTTCTTTCCTGTAAATTTTCATCCCATCATTTCTGATTGGTCACTCCATGAAATGGAAATTTAAAACATACACACACACACACACACACACACACACACACACACACACACACTTTAGAACTGCATTTCTCTACACAAGCTAAGCTTAATACTAAAATTTTGTTTTTCAACAATCCATGGTTTTTTTTTTTTATTTTTTTCAATGTATGAAATTTATTGTCAAATTGGTTTCCATACAACACCCAGTGCTCACCCCAAAAGGTGCCCTCCTCAATACCCATCACCCACCCTCCTCTCCCTCCCACCCCCCATCAACCCTCAGTTTGTTCTCAGAATCCATGGTTTTTTCAACATAGTATTCCACTATTAAGCTAAAATCCTTGTTTATATACCACTTGTTAGAATTTTTAAAATGACTGGGAACCCTGATATGGCATTTCACATGCTAAACTGATTTTTTAGAAAAACTATCAGAGTCCAATTAACTTCTTAAAGCAATGAATCAGGACTCACAGAACTCTAGAATTCTTTTTTTTTTTAACTTTTTTTTCACCGTTTATTTATTTTTGGGACAGAGAGAGACAGAGTATGAACGGGGGAGGGGCAGAGAGAGAGGGAGACACAGAATCATAAACAGGCTCCAGGCTCTGAGCCATCAGCCCAGAGCCTGACGCGGGGCTCGAACTCACGGACCACGAGATCGTGACCTGGATGAAGTCGGACGCTTAACTGACTGCGCCACCCAGGCGCCCCTAGAATTCTTTTTTATTGCAACACTACATGGTTAAAAGGAGACAGCTACTGGGGCACCTGGGTGGCTCAGTTGGTTGAGCACCCAACTTTGGCTCAGGTCATGATCTCGCAGTCAGTGAATATGAACCCCAAGTCTGGCTCTGTGCTGACAGCTCAGAGCCTGGAGCCTGCTTCAGATTCTGTGTCTCCTTCTCTCTCTCTCTGCCCCTCCCCAACTCATGCTCTCTTTCTGTCTCTCACAAATAAACATTAAAAAAAAAAACAAACTAGGGGCGCCTGGGTGGCTCAGTCAGTTAAGCAGCCGACTTCGGCTCAGGTCATGATCTCGCGGTCCGAGAGTTCGAGTCCCGCATCAGGCTCTGTGCTGACAGCTCAGAGCCTGGAGCCTGTTTCGGATTCTATGTCTCCCTCTCTCTGACCCTCCCCCCTTCATGCTCTGTCTCTCTCTGTCTCAAAAATAAATAAACGTTAAAAAAAATTTTTTTAAAGAAAATGTAGATTTAAAACAACAACAAAAAAAAACTAAAAATAAGAGATAGCTACTTATCCTTTCTATTTTTTTCTCACTCTCAAAATGAAAATAAAATTCCCAAATAAAAAAATTAATAGTAAATGTGAGAATCTTTTATAAAATAATATATAAATGTATACCAGGTTTGCCATTTTTTTAAACCTAAATATTCCATTAAAAGAAGGATGCTTGGGTACATTATAGTATATTTACAGGATACTGTTACAAGAATACTGATATTTACTTGAAATGTTTAATAACAAGGAAAAATGCTTATGTTACAATTAATCAACAATGGCAAGACTCAAGCTTTTATCTACAGCATGATCCCAATTATGCAGAGGAAATCATAAAATAAAACTACATGGAAAACAACATGTTAACACTTGTTTTAAGCTAGTGGTTCTATGGTGTCTTATCCCACTTTTTTCTATTTTTCACAATTTTTATAATAATAAAAGCTTCTAACATTCAAGTCCTATAATAGGCCAGGCTATATTCTGTAAACCTTACAAATATTATCCTTCTAGTTTTTACAACAACCCTAAGAGGGAGTTATAAAGATGAAGACTGACAAGGAGAGCATAAACAATTTGCCCAAACAAACAGCTAGTGAGTGCCAGAGCTGGAATGAGCACCAAGAAAATCTGAGGCCATGCCCTACACTCTTATCCTCTACTACACCTTCTTCCATATGTAAACATGCATTACCTTTGAGAAAATGGGTTAGGATTTGGAATAGGAAGAGTAAATTAAAAAAAAAAAAAAAACTTAAAAAAAATGGACTATGGACTACATGTATCACATGTGGAAGTTTTTTTGCTTTGTGAAGGAATATAAGGACTATTTCTTTAGTTTTAGTCAACGTATTCTGCCTTTAAATATAATTTTATTTTTACAAAGCTTTAAAAACTAAATGTATTGAAATTGAAACTGACAGAACACATTACCTTCTATTCCCCTTTGTCTTTCTTATACTGTTTTCTAATAAATGACACAATAAAATGGAACTTTCCAGGGGCTCCTGGGTGGCTCAGTTGGTTAAGCATCCCACTTCAGTCATGATCTCATGGCTCATGAGTTGGAGACCCACATTGAGGCCTGTGCTGACAGCTTGGAGCCTGGAGCCTGCTTCAGATTCTGTGTCTACCTCTCTCTCTCTCTCTCTCCCCGTTCCCTGCTCGTGCTCTGTCTCTCTCTCTCTCAAAAAAAAAAAAAAAAATTAAAAATTTTTTTTGAAAAAAAAAATTAAAAATTTTTTTTGAAAAAAAAAATTAAAGTTTTCCAAGTACCTAGTAGCATTAATACAAGTCATTTATTTACTAGCTAAGTGCTTAGAAACATCAACAGCAAAGGGCAAGTTATAACTTTCAAGGGATAATTATAAAACTATATTTTAAATTATGAAATATAGACTATTCCCCAAAACAAAAGCATCTGTTCAATAAAACAGTGTTTTCAGTAATTTAGTGAAGATGCAAATTGTGAGAAGCAAGATTGCAAAATTATTTGCTGTATTCTCACAAGGGGGAAAAAAAGGATTTTTCCAGGTAACAGAAGAAACTATTCCATTTACAGGTTTAACTCAATGTACTCCCCAAAACAGTGCTGTTAAATTCAAATTTAAGCAAGAAAACTAGCTGAACGTTACTCTTTTACTTGGCATAGAAAATGTTAACATGAAAAGCTTTTTTGAAATTTAAGTACTACCCCAAAATATCAGAACGATAAATGAAATCTTTCTGTATAAGGCTGGCAGGCTGAAAATCCCACCACTAAATGCCATCACTAAGTTCTGGACAGTGGATGCCCAGCTTGGACTCACGCACAGTGGAAATTTTCCTGAAACTAGGGGAAACAAGGGGAAAAGGGCCAATAGGCAAAAAAAAAAATTGCTGTTACAGTTTAGCTTGAGAAATAAGAAGTGCAGAAAACAAGCTGAGTGAGGGTACAAGGAGCTCGCTCTGCATTCACATTCCCAGACTCAGTAGACTGGAGCAGCCGTTCGTTATGCATTAAAACTCATCACCTCTTCCCAGTTTGCACAGGAAGGCGATGCCCGATCTTTCCAAGTAGGAAAGGCTACCCGCACCCCCTTTTCCCAGTTTGCACTCATTAACACCAAGGCCTGGCTCACCTAAACAGCTGGGAGAACTCCTTTCGAAGAGCAGTGGTCTTCCCCAGGCTCGTGTTAGGCCAGGACTCTGCAACTCCTGCCAGGGACCGGGTACCGGTTAAGGGCGTGAGTCCCGCCCCGCCACCCACGACTCCTGAGCAGCGGGCGCGCCACTCAAGTGCTGTGGCCCACGCAGTCCGGCCCACGGTCTGAGAAAGGGCCTCACCAGTGGTTCCCACCCCTCCGGTACACCAGAATCATCTGGCGAGAGGCCTGTGGATTCTCAAGTACAATCAGGGTCGGAAACTGCCGGGCTCCAGAGGCCTGACCAAATGGTGCGTGGCAATTCTCTTTTTCCCATGAGCTGCTGTGGGGGCTGCGGCCGGGGTCGGCCGCTTCCTGAGGAAGGCCCCTTCCGGCCAGTTCAATCCCCTCAACGGGTTAGGAAGGAAATAGGGAGGCATCCCTCATCCCAGCCGCTGTGAGGGCCGACCGGAGCCTACTGGCTGCAGTCTACCTTCCACAGGAGACCACTGACAGATTCCGGGGCGGGGGCAGGGCAGGGCCCGCACGCGCGGGGAGTGGAAGCCGTGACCTTTACCGTCAAGTCGCGGTGTGCCGTTTCCGTGCTTCCTCCCTCGAAGCCCGCCTACAAACAAGACGCTCCACTCCGTTTCCCGCCCAGCAGCCCAGGCATACTTCCGCTGGGCGGAACTGGGACTTCCGGCTGCTCTCGCCTGCCCACACGCGGTGTCTCCCCACAGACAGACGCTCCCCGGAGTCCCCAGGGCGGGTCATGGGTAGCAAGAGTACGAATGCAGTGTCCACGAGTGGTGGAAAGTCACAACGTGGAGGGGAAATCTTCTGAGCTCATCGCTCCGGGTTTTTAGGGCTTTTCTTTGCTCAGAGGGGCTTTTGCCACAAGGAGTTAGGAGAGCCGGCTCCAGGTCCATGAGACCAGGTCAGAGACTGTGGCAGCAGGGCACAGCATGGGTTAAGGGGCCCTCCGAGCCCCAAGCCTGGCCCTCAGTCCTCTCTCCCAATCTTCTTGTCTTTGTTTTCTGATAAAACTATACATCTGAAATATTTGCCTTTTCTGGTAGTCATGGTTGGAAGATGTCCTTTGCTAAAATCTACACATGGGATAAATTCATTATTTAATTAAGACTGTAAGAAAAAATACACTTAAAGCTGTTTCTAATGAAACACAAGAGATTTTTATAAGTAACTAATTACCAAGCCAGAAATAATGAACTCAATTAGAAATGGGTAACTTTTATTCTCCCAGAAAATGACTGCTTCCTTTCCCCTCCCCCACAGAGAACAAGACAACATTATTACAAATGAGAACAATGTTTATTAAGGAAACAATTTAACACTTCTCCCTCAGCAGAATTTTACAGACTAGAGCACAACCTGAAGGCCATTACAGTTTAAATCACTGACACACGACATAGGGTGCTTATTCTACAACTGGAAAGTTGCTGAAGTTTGTGACATGCCACTATAGATGTAAGTATTATTAAAAATTACAAACTGTTTGGTGATTATTTTGATAACCTCCTGAGCAGCAGCTCCTGCAAGGAAAAAGGAGAAGAGCAAATCTTTGAAAAAGGTAAATTTCAAGTTATATAAAAATATTCAATTATGTAAAGAAAACCTTTCTGTTCCAAAAAGAAAGGTGTTTAAAAATAAGCCAAACAGGAGCGCCTGGGTGGCTCAGTCGGTTAAGCATCCGACTTCGGCTCAGGTCATGATCTCGCGGTCTGTGGGTTCGTGCCCCGCGTCGGGCTCTGTGCTGACAGCTCAGAGCCTGGAGCCTGTTTCAGATTCTGTGTCTCCCTCTTCCTCTGACCCTCCCCTGTTCATGCTCTCTCTCTCTCTGTCTCAAAAATAAATAAATGTTAAAAAAAAATTTTTTTTAAATAAGCCAAAACAAAGCTTACTAAGTCACATCAAAATCAAGGACTACAATTTTTTGTAACTATGTTATTAAAGGAAATAAAAATCTGTCCTATACATTCACACGTTGGGATATTATGCCACAGATTAAAAGAATGAATTATTTTTAATTGTGGTGGCAAGATATACTACGTAAAAAAGTCAAAACAGTAGTATGGTTGATTGTACTTTTTTAAAAAATACATATAGACAGAAAAGATTCTCAAAGACCACCCAGACCACCCTTCTGTTGCATGTGAATTTTACCTTGTGCATATTTTACTTTTATAATAAAACAGGGGTAAAGGTATATTTGTTCTAAATACATCTATAATTTGGAAACGATCCACATTAAATACTGCCAGGTTGCCATATTATACTCAGTAATAGACTTATACAGTAGTGAGTTTTGAGCAATTACTCAAAGAAAACAATAGAAAAAACAAAAAACTACCAACAAAAAAAATTCTTCATCTTTTATAATATTCACATTCATTGATTCAATAAAATATGAGACTCTATTACATACCAAATCCTCTTCTAGGCGCTAGGAATAAAGAACAAAAGACAAAAACCCTTGCCTTCATGGATCTTACTTTTTTTTTTTTTTTAATTTTTTTTCAACGTTTATTTATTTTTGGGACAGAGAGAGACAGAGCATGAATGGGGGAGGGACAGAGAGAGAGGGAGACACAGAATCAGAAACAGGCTCCAGGCTCTGAGCCATCAGCCCAGAGCCTGACGTGGGGCTCAAACTCACGGACCGCGAGATCGTGACCAGGCTGAAGTCGGACGCCTAACCGACTGCGCCACCCAGGCGCCCCATGGATCTTACTTTTAACTAGTAAGGGAAAGATAATTTGCAAATTAGTAAAATGTATACAAATGTATAGAAATGACCCTAAGGACTAAGGAGAAAAAGCAAGGAAGAGGGATACACATGAGTGGAAGAACAGGGACTCAGTTTTAAATTGAGGAGTCAGGAATGGCCTCATGCAACGAAAGTAACATTTAAACAAAGACCTGAAAGAAGTGAGGGAATATAATGGTGTTGTGCAGAATACAAAACACACATGTTAGGCACTGAATGTCCTCAAAATTCATGTTAAACCTGTAATACCCAATGTGATAATATTGGGAGGTGAAGAGGATACTGGAGGTCTTTGGGAAGTAAACAGGGTTAGATGAGGTCATGGGCTGGGGTCCTCACAAAGGGTTTAGTGCCCATATAAGAAGAGACCCCCAAGAGCTGTGTCCCATCTGTCCTCTCCCCTCCCTGCACAAAAAGGTTATGGCACACAGCAAGATGACAGCAGCCTACAAGCCCTGGACAGGCTTCCTAGAAACCAACCGTGCTGGCCCTGACCTTGGACTTCCAGCTTCCAAAGTTTTTTGTTTTTTGTTCTAAAGTTTATTTATTTATTTTGAGAGAGAGACAGAGAGAGCAAGTGGAGGAAGGGCAGGGAGAGAGGAAGAGAAAGAACCCCCACCAGGCTCCTTGCTGTCAGCACAGAGCCTGACGCAGGGCTTGAACCCACAAACTGTAAGATCATGACTAGAGCCAAAACCAAGAGTCAGACACTTAACTGACTGAGCCACCCAGGCACTCTTCAACTTCCAAAGTTTTTATGAAAGAGTGGTAATTTTCATTTAAAAAGTATTTATTTATTTGAGAGAGAGAGAGAGAGAGAGAGAGAGAGAGAGAGAGAGAGAGAGATAAAGTGGGGGAGGGGCAGGGAAAGAGAGAATCCCAAGCCGACTCCACTCTGTCAGCTCAGAGCCTGATGCAGGGCTCGAACCCACGAATCGTGAGATCATGACCTGAGCCAAAACCAAGAGTTGGATGCTTAACCAACTGAACCACCCAGGTGCCCCAGAGATGGTAATTTCCAGTTGGGCCTTGAAGAACAGCAAGATTTTAGACATGCCAGAAATAAGGAGATTTAAGGCAAATGGCCCTGAAAGTTAAGGACTCAAGGAACAGGAAATCAAAGGCATGTCTGGGGGAAAAAGGAAGTCACTTGAAAAAACCAAGGGCAGAAAGGCTGAGTGGAATCAGAACACAGTGTATTTTTAATGTTAAATAAGGGACTCTGGACTTGTTTTCTGAAGACCATTGTAGTATGTATGTGTTTACTGGCAGGGCAGAAGGTTAATTGAGAGACATGATCAGAGCTATGCTTTAGAAAAATTAATGACTCTTCACTTTAAGATGGACAGCGGTGGGAGAGATGCAAAGCAGAAAGACCAGTGAAATAAACTAAACAGAACATCTTGCTTCACTGACTTCCCTAGTTAAAATAGCTATAAAAACAAAGTTCATAATTGTACTGTGTAACCACAGATGCCAGTCTTCTCATCTGTGGAACTCACCTCCTAAGAACGCAGCAATGGTGTGTGGCTCAGCAGCTCCATATCGGCAACTACAGAAAAGGATGGAGATGTGAACTTAGATTAGCCTTATTACAGGACAGGTATTATCTCTCATCTGCCTTAAAAAATACTCACAATTCATGGACATAATCATCTTTCACCATTACAGATAATCCATATTCCTGAAGGAAGCCAGTGAGACAAGACTTCAGCTTTCCTATATCTTCTTCAACCTGGTAGTTAGATACCCCTACAAATACATAATGTAAATCAATTTTCATTAAAGTAAATATGCAATTCAAAACCAATGGCTCTTTTTAAAATCCAGTTTGAGGTGTTCTAATCAATATAGTAAGGTATGAAACTGAAGAACACAAATAACAGAAAGCATGAGACCAGTATTTACTATCACAAAGCTGTAACAATCAAAGAAACCATCTAAAACCTATTAAAAATTCAAGTTAGGCAAATCTGCTTTGTTTACTGCTCTATATCCAGTATCTAGAAGAGTATCCAGCACATAGTTGGTGTCCAAGAATTATTTGATGGAAGAATTGAATGAATAAGTAAGTAATGTCTTATTTACACACTTTATAAAAAATTAGGGTGTTTAAAAAATATTATGGTGTTTATTATCCATTTCCAGGAAATTAAATGACACTGAAGACATATAGCTATAATAATAAGTAACATTTATTGAATTAACAAATGCTGGACAGTGTTCTAAGTACCATTTATATTAATTGATTTAATCCTTACAACACTCCTATGAAATAGGTACTATCATTATCCCTGTTTATAGGTCAGAAAACTGAGGCACAGACAGATTAAGTTATTTGCCTGAGTTACTTAGCTCGTAAATAGCAAAACTGGGATATGAGCCCAGGAAGTTCTTAATGATTAAACTGTAATGTTTCCAAACATTATTATTTCCAAGCTATTATTATTTCTTCTGGAAGGAAAAATATAATTGCTGTAATATTCAAGTGTTTTAAAAATATCAATATTTTGGGGGGTGCCTGGATAACTTAGTCAGTTGAACGTTTTAACTTCGGCTCAGGTCATGATCTCATGGCTCATGGGTTCAAGCCCTGAGTTAGGCTCTGTGCTGGCAGCGAAGAGCCTGGAGCCTGCTTTGGATTCTGTCTCCATCTCTCTCTGCCCCTCCCCTGCTCACACTCTACTTCTCTCTCAAAAATAAACATTAAAAAAAATTTTAAATATCAGTATTTTTTGGCTCCTCTAGTTTAAAAACTATCACTACTCTTCCTCATGATAACACCAACCCTTTACTAAATACTTACAAGGTGCCACATAGTATTAAGTGATTTTCATACATTACCTATATAACCTTTACAAACTGGTAAATACTATTATCATTATTCCATAAATGAGAGAACTGAGATTTGGAGGGAAATAGTGATTCACCAAGGTCAAGAGACAGTAAGTGACAGAGCTTGGAAGCCTGTGCTTTATGTGGTAGCTAGTCTCCCAAGATGGCTCCCCAATGAACGCTCCTTTGTGCCCTCATGTAGTCCCATCCCACTGTTAATCTAAACTGGCCCTGTGAAGCCAACAGAACATGATGTAAGTGATGCCATGTTCTAAGGCTTCTGAGGCTAACTCCTAAAATACCTTGTACTTTCCACCTGGATCTTTTGGAATGTTAACTTTGGGGAAGCAAGCCACCATGTAAACAGTCTGCCCTAGGAATACTATGCTAAAAGGAATCCCCAGTTAGCCATGGAGAGATACCTGACTAGCCCCCAAGCAGTTCCAACTATCCCAACTAAAGTGCCAGTCAATGAGTGAAAATGTCATCTTGGATGTCCAGCTCAGTGAAACCTTCAGAATGACTCCAGCCCCAGGCATCATGCAACTCCATGAGTTCCCCTCTCCCCAGTGAGAACTGCCT